GTTGTTGCAAGTAAATTGACAACTGCAAAGTCACATTCAAATGAAACAATCCCGATTCATCTATTAAAGCAAAAGGGACGAAGCTTGGACCATAAGGAAGCAAGGTTAATTTATCTAAATCCATACAAACGACCAAGCCAAAGTGATTTCAAACACTGGGTTCATCTACTGCCAGCAGGAAGGTTTACCAAGAACCAATGCTTTCTTGATGCAACTTTTAATAGATACAATTTTGTCCTTAGTAATGACAATCCCCCATATTCGGAAACTCAGTTTTTCACGAAATCATACGATTTATGTTTTTAACTGTCATCATTATTTCACGAGCAACTACGCTGACCGACATTTAGCAACACAAACAACAGGATTCTCGGTGACCATTTGAAACGACTTACCCTCTATCGACAAGGGTAACAGAGTTTTGAGCAGAATCCAAGAGACCTGACAGACAGTCGAGCAATTCCACAGGTGCAAGGTTGATTTCATCCAAAAGGACCCAATCACCATCCTCCAAGGCTCGAACTAGTGCCCCTTCAATAAACGCAAAAGCCATCGAAGAAGACGAAGCACCACTGCCGGTGGAAGACACAGCTAACCGTCGCTCCAATGCCTCCAACTCACGCCATAGCGTCTGCCATTCCTTAATTAAGGCCTCCTGGCTGCCAGCACCTCGATCTCCGCCGTTTTCGGAACGAGTAGCAAGCTTTCGAATGGCAGACGCTGCGGGATGCCTTAACAGAGTCAGTAGGTCACGCCAACGACCTGAGGCGGCACAAGTCTAAGTGGAGATAGAAGTTGAATAGTAAAGTGTATCATAAGTGTTTCAATCGCCAAATAGTTCAAATAAGGAGCAGAAATCCACATTAAATGAAGACCAAAGCAAGTTCCCATACCGGTCTTATTTAGAGAAAACCTCGTTGTTGACTTGACAAACCCAGACCAAAAGTTGTTTCAGTAAATAAACTATTATATCTACACCATTGCTAACATTCTGGAATTCGGTGATTAGCTATGAGGCAATAAGATAGACGCCAAAGGAGGCCCTCAGTGGATTCATGCAACTAACCGCTTTTGTGCTCAAGTGCTACAAAAGCTAGGCGAACGAAACTAAATGCTACGATGAATGAACAAACTTGGATGTGTTCCAGGAATCGCCTATTTGACTCCAGCCGAAAAGTCTTCATAAAAAGGCTCTCAAACCTCTCCTTCACGGGGTACATGAGAGCTCGAGAATCCACAGGCTTGAAGCCACCGAGGAGATCCACTATATCCGACTGCTGACTCAGATTGAGCACCCGCAGTCGACGACCAGCCATCAGAGCGAGGCGTTGAATGGCTGAAGTCTTACCGGTGCCAGTCTCACCTACAAGAAGAACAGGCTCTGCGTGCTGGATCGCCACCGCCAACCGTTCAACTAGCGTGCACGCTAGCCGTGTGTCAGCAAATACCTGCCTTGACGGTCTGTATGAAAAAGAATACGCAAGCATATGACGACTTGTACTAGTATTAACCGCAACAGCGCAAAGGTAAAAGAGAAGACCCACTCAGAAAGCTGAAGTTCCCAGTAAACCGATTTTTTGATAGGAATAACGGCTCGACCCGCCTCGACCTGAGTTAAATCTCGACTAAGGCGCAATTTAGGCTTCCGAGACTTCCAAATTTTCAAGGCCTGCTCTCGAGAGAAGTTAAAAATTCCTCCCAGATGAATGGCCACATCATCGCTAGAAGCAGCAACAGATTGAGAACAAACGAAGCAATCGAGGGCGTCAAGGTAGATGTGAAGAGGCGTATCTGCATGGCCAGAACTCTTAAGAGCCCGAGAAAGGAATTTGAAGAAGTCACGCGAACAGACGGGACGCTGGTTGCAATTAGTGGGTGCTGCGATGCTTTTCAGCAGAGGTAATTCAGATAAAAGACGTCTTGCAAGTGGCAAGAGGTCTGGACTGCGAAACTCTACAATCTAAAATCCAAAAGAAATGTCAACTCCTGTTCAACTGCCATTATTCAGATAGCGAGCTAGCACACCTTTTGGATCGTTTCGGCTGACATCCCATCCATGAAAATAACTGAACAGTTGTTAGCATAAATCTCGGACCCAGATATGTGGTCCGAAATCCCAGTAGAGGGGGAACCCGTACGACATGTAAGTAGTAAACGGAATCCCGGATGTCGAAACACAGGCTCACCAGTATTAGGATAAAGCATCTGCGAAGCAGTGTCCTTTATTCGTCGAAGAATGGGACTCAAGAGAATGGGCAAGTCAGCAGAGCCTTTATCCACATCTTCCAAAACTAACCATTTACCCGATGTCATGCAATGAACAAGGGGTCCAGGTCTCCAAACAAACACACCAGGGGTGCTTGAACAACAATAGAGCCCAAGGAGGGCCTTAGTGTCAGTTTGCTCACTAATCTGCATTCGAAAGATCGAAACCGAGCGCAAACTTGCAAGGTAATCGATTATCGCCGTTTTGCCACACCCAACAGGACCACAAACAAGAGGGACATCATTACGATCAACAGCAAGAGCAACAGAAGCAACACTGTCCATAAAACAAGGGAGAGGTGTATACCCAGCGCTTGCAGGAACAGATTCATTCAAACTGCTTGCTGCCACAACATTAGAGGAGGAGGAAATAGGGGATCGTAAATTCGAAACACCTGATTCGAGTGAAGGAGCATCTTGTACATTAGACAAATTCAAAGTCATATTTCTTTCTCGTTTCGCTTCATTCTGACCTATCGTAGAAGTCCTACGCCTTTTCCTACAGGTATTTACAAGGAAAGCAGACACCTTACCCCATCGTAGGAAAGCCACGCCTGAATTTCGCACAGCGCGCTTGAAGCCGCCTTGATTATTTTCAGAATTTAAGGGCATCAAACGAAACGTAATTAAATTTTTCAAAATCTTTGCCATATTTATAACCAAATTAAAGCTGAAAGTCAAAAATGATAAATAATAGAGCACTATGCTTTGGCCTACCTCCCCAGGTTCAGATAATTTCCACCGCAGGAAAAATTTTTCAAAGTGGACCAGTCCAGTCGCCAAGACTCTATCTCGTCCATTTACATACTATGCACAAATCGTTTCACCAACCCACGGGTTGCTACCGCTGGCATCGACACGCAGCCCTAGAACGCTCGTACCTCCCAACGCCACCCACCCGTCTGAAAAAGACGGACCACCGCGGCCCCAACCACAAGCCTGCCTCTCGCACAAGGTACCAACCCCAGTCTGGTCGGTCCAAAAAAATCAAAAGGCCTCGACCCCACTAGTAGACAACTCCCAAAAGCCAACGTAACAGAAGATAGCAGCAATGGAGGGTCGCGCCGCCTAGACACACACCCGAGAGAATCAGCATTACCAGAGGTACCATAGAGAGATCGCGGATCACAGACTACGGCAACAAACTACTCCACCCACCACTGGATAGCAAGTGCCAACCCTCACAAAAGAAATAAGACGCACATATAAAGCCTGAAAAACGCCATTTATTGCCTACTTCAGACCATCTTCAATTTAAGCTCCTTCTCTTTCGCTCGCTCCAATTTAGAAACACGGGCAAGTGACTTCGACCCCATGATTCCACCGCCCCAGTGTTTACGTATCTATATTCATGAGACAGCTCAATTAGAAACGTACCTCGTCGTAACGATCGTTAAAGTTCGTCTTCACGGTCTGAATGATCTTAGCGAGACGCGGCTTGTCCTCACTTAAAAAAAAATAAAGCGAAAGCGACGAACATACGCCTTTACTGTGGTGAAGGCAAGACAGGTACATGTCTTCCTGCGCACAAGTTGGCCAAGTCGGGCCTTGCCCCTGACAATGGCATAAGGAACACCCATTTTGCGACATAGAGCAGGCAGGAAGAGAACAATCTCAATCGGGTCAACATCATGGGCGATGAGAACCAGCTGAGCCTTCTTGCTCATGATCGACGCAGTAACTTCACGCACACCAGATCTAAAATAGGGCCGCTTCTCCTGGGGAACATCAGCACCACCACCGGCACGCTTTTGAGCACGATGCGTGAGTAGAGCCTTCTTAGCCTGTTTGGTAAGTGGCCTGTATTTACTGCAGAGGTTAAAAACCTGCAACGCTAAAAGAAAATGAAGAGAACACTATCTTACATGTCGCACGGTCAAGAGCCTGCGAAAACTGATTGATTGGTGGGGGAATCTTCAAACGTTTCTTCAAGATAGCCTTTTTCCTCTGCAACTCTATATACTTGGGCCACTTAACGAATCGATACACATTTCGACGCGGTTGTATGGCCTGTCCGATTCCAAAATTCTTTGGCCTTTTTTGGATAAGCGGATTTTTCCGAGGACGCTTCTTAACCTCCGGAACAACTTTCTTTTTGATTATGTCTGGTAGAGGAGCAACCTTGGACCTCCCTTTACCCTTCGTGCCCTTCTCAGGAAGTAAAGGCACATCTTGAGTCTTCACTTCCTTTATTTTCTTAGCTTTAATAACTTTTTTCTGGGTGATAGGCTATAAAAAAGAGACATAAGAGCAAACGCCAAACCATACCATGACTCACTTTTCTACGGAGGCGCCAGTAAACGCAGCCAAACAACTAGGTTTCCGTTAGGCTAAATATGCACAAAACCTATAATTTTGTGGTACTTTTTATAGACGTTAAATGATAAGTTAAGTCGTTTTCATTATATTGTTGCTTAAGTAAAAAATAGGTCTTGATAACCCAAATTAACCGCTTAACTACGCAATGGTAGCCAAAGGCAGGGAATGAAATTTCGATATTTATCTACGAAGACTACAATCCATGTCTTACTGAACATCCACGTGAAATCTTGACGATTAGTTGGTTAACCAAAAGGCAGAGTTGATGCTGTTGCTCCCAAAGACCTCCTACTTGGAAAGGAAGCCATTAAGTTTGGCTCATCACAGGCATTCTAATGGAGGATAAAGAGACTGAGCCCCGTCTCGGTGCGCATATAAGGACAAAACGACTGCCAAACTTGAGACCGGTTATCAGAATGCAACATAGACGAATTGCTACGGATACAATGCTTCCATTTTAGATTCTGAAGCGTGGCACAGACTTCGTTCTCTTTCGAGCTAGTAGACACGACTAAGTGTGCAGGTGAACAGTGGCATAAGTTTAGTCCCACACGAAGGTGGCTAAGTAAACCTTCACTTGTTGCGATTTACACACCACAAAGCCTAAGGAAGCAGCCATCATCTTTAGCAGCATTGCCATACTAGTTCCCAACTGCGCGGAACCAAACCTCAGTCTAGTAACCCTACCCCACCATCGTATAAAGCGTGTTA